TACTGTGTAGGAAGTGTTCAACCGAGGAGCTGCACACTTGCAAGTGCACACCTACCGAGTTGCACACTTGAAAGTATTTAACTTGCAGTTGCACACTTGCAAGTATTTAACTTACAGTTGCACACTTAGAAGTGTTGAGCAGTTGAACACTTAGTTTATCAGTGAACAATTAACTACTCGAAATGTACATATTCCTCGCCCCATCCTAATACTTCAACTACTACTACTGCTACTACTACTACTACTAGACACACGAAGCTGTACAAGATGCTGGCGTACACTTTCCCCCTCCCCCTCCTCCTCCTTCTCCTCCACCTCCTCCACCTCTTTCCCCCCATACACTTCACGCAGGTCGTCCATCGCGTGCTGTAGGGTCAGCTCCTCCCCCTTTTGCTTCACGTACAGCCGGTCGACGGCGTCGCACCTCTTGCGCACCAGGTCCCTACAGTCGACCATCCTCTTGGGGTGGTTGCTGTAGACGCCGTACTCGTTGAACACGTCGCGGAGCGTGACCGCGCCCTCCCGGAAGAGGATCAGGAGCCGCGCGAAGGCGACGCTCATCCCCAGCTGCCACTTGTGCCCGACGAAGAAGCTCGCCTGCCACTGCGCCTGCTCCTTCTCCATGACGAGGAAGCACACCTTGAAGAGCTTCTCCCGCTGCTCGTCGCTCAGCTCGGGCGGCGCCCCGGCGAGCGAGTGGCTGCGCGCGAACTGGATGAGCAGTTCGGCGAGGCGCCGCTGTCCCGCGCCCGGGGCGGCTCCCCCGAGGGCGTCCATCGCGGCCTCCAGCACGGGCACGACGTCCCTCTCGTACGACGACACGCCCTTCACGAACGACATCCCCAGCCGGTGTTCGGACGTGGCCGCTGTGCAGTGCTCCTCCGTGCGGTGTCTGCTGGCCACCCTGTACCGCCCGGCCGCGTAGGTCTCGTCCGGGCCGGAGCACACGGGCATCTCCACCTCCTTGCCGTTCACCTCCACCGTGTACGGCGTCCTGTCGGCCAGCGGGATGCCCCTGTGGATGTCCCTGCTGCTCGTGCCGAGCGCGACCCACGTCTCCTGCTGCAGCCTGGCCGCCGCGATCACCTGGCGCGCGCTCCTGCCCGCCAGGTCGACGGGCCGCACCTCGGCGTTCTTGTCCCGGTACTGGTGCTCGGTGACCTCCCGCGCGAGCGCGCGCACCGACGCGTCGTCGCGGAGGTCGAAGAAGTCCCGCTCGGCCGCGTACCGCATCCCCTGGCGCGAGTCCGGGTCGCCGCGGAACGGGCGCAGCGCCCGGGGCGCGTACCTCCGGTTCATGATCCTGCGCGCGCTCGCGTGGTCCGTGCGCCCGCCGCCCCGGTACCTCTTCCACGCCGCCCTGTCCTCGGCGGTGCACTCCCGCTCCTGCTCCTGCTCCACCCTCCTCGCCCCCAGGCTGATGTCCACTGCTGCTGGCGCCATGACTCCAGGGTCCCTATGCAACACAAAAAAGGTCGTTCAGGAGGGCGACACTTTACCGGGACCCACCGCAGCACCACGCTCAGCCAACGCCCTCCCCTACCAGTACGAGGAACGTTGACGTCGATTGGGCGTCGAAGATACCAGATGGCTGATTCACGCCGCGCACTTTCGTAGTAATGCTGTACCGCATGCACGCGGGCGGGCGGGTTTGCCTATGCTCGCAAAGCACGGCTCCTTATGGCCCCGTGCCGGTAGGCAACCCGCCCGCACGCGTGCGTGCCGTGCAGTATAACTACGAAAATGCGCGGCGTGAATCAGCCACCTGGTACACAGGGGTGGAAAGTTAAGGTTTTGTTCCTTGTCCGCTTTTTTGTCATTTACTGGTGAATGCAATGCTCCATCCGACAGAAACGGTTGGAGCACATGTAAAAAGATGTGAGTGAGTTTAAATCCCATTAGGATATCCTTCGAATTTTTACTTTTTCGCCGACTAGGCATCTAGGAGTAAATGGCAAAGAACAAAAAATATCGAAAGTCCTAATTTTCCAGCCCTGCTGGTACATACTGCCAATATTGTTCAATAAGACTACAACTAATCAATAAGACCACTACAACAAGAAGTAAAAAACCGACTCACAATCCTCAATTCACAATTACGACTGACCGCTTTGCATCTGTGAGCGCGGTAGCGTTATTTAAAACAGTTTAAAGAGAAGTGTTACTGGAATTCTTACTTTGCTGAACGTTGAAGAGCGGGGCAGTGCGACGCGGTGCGACCGTATGCTTCGACCATCCCAACTAAAGGGCGCTGCCGACCAATATATAGCCCCCGGACAACTGACGTCGTAGCGTCGTCACTCATAGATTAGATAGGGGATACCTGTTTGTTGCGGCTGACAGGAATAGAGATGGTCTCAACAGGAAGGGCGCCACCACGACACCGCGCAAGTTTTTTTTTTCCCACGTGCGGGTGGATCCGCGAGGACTGCTGTACCCTGATGGATTTGGGGGACGATTTAGGATGATTCACGACGATAAGATCACAATGACGTTCTCGGCTTAGGGAGACGATGCCCTGTGATTCAACACGTGGAAGTCCCGGGTATGTGCCAGGGATATCCTATAGGAATTAATGTGAGAGAGATCAAATCATACGTAGACCCAAAAGGAGTGCAGTAGAAATGTAAGTAAATTAGTGAAATTCACTTAAATCGACGCTCGCATATGGCTCCTTAGATTTACACACAACGGATTTTATAAAAATTTCATTATGCGTTTTTGTTTTAGCCACGACACCTGCGTGGGAGGGAAGGAACACACCTGGCGGGTGTGGAGTGGTGCAGGTGCGGATGTCTGGCAGTGATGACAGCTCTCACTGCCAGCACCCGACGCCCACCATTCACTCAGCCATTTCTAAAAAGACATAGACAAAACTTACCATAAATTGCGAGATTTATTCATTATTACACGTTCTTCGACGATCGCAAACATGCGGGACGCCTTTAGTAATTCGCGACATTGATGCGTTAGGAAGAACGGAAATTATGGAAAATATAGCAAGGGGATACTTTTCACGGTGGACTAGACGCCGAAGCCGCGGGCCGAGAGCAGTAGCAGGCCGCTCCTCTGTGCTGAGTAGATGATGGTAATGTTCGCGAAGTGCGGGTGGGACTCCTCAGTCGACGACGGGAGCCGGCAGTGGCCTATCGCCTGCTTACGCCACACTGCCACACGTCCAAATAAGGAGAAGAACATCGCAATATGATGGGCGAGGCAAATGCAGCGCCGATATCGCAATTCTGGCATATTCTCCCCCCCCCCTCCTGCCCGTGTCGGCGCCCACGGGCTCTGCGCGGCACCGCCCTCTCGTGGGCGCAGCAATTGAAGCGAGCTGGATAATCAGTTGGAAAGAAAAGAACTTTGCAAGGCCGTCGGCCCCCTTCCCCTCTCCCTCACAACAGTGACGGTTAAAACAATGTTGTCAAAAAATAAGTTTGTAACGACGAGCTTGTTCGGTCTTGGCAGGTGGCGCGGAGCAGCACCTCTCCGGCCTGCCGTTCCCCCGCCTGGCGTGCGACGGCCCGGACCTCCCGCAGCCCGAGGAGAGGGTCATCACGGCGGACAGGGTGGCGGCGCTGCGGCGGCGGATGAAGGACCACGGCCTGCACGCCTACATCGTGCCCTACGGCGACGAGCACCAGGTGGGTGTGACCTCGACCAGCAGGTGCGCTGGTCGAGCCAGAGGTGCCCTTTTACCGTAAATGCAAAGTGTACACCGATTTCCTGTTTTGGACAAATATCTTCCTTTAATATCCTTTT